CCACCCATACAGACAGAAACAACAGAGAGAAAGTAAAGAAGTAGGACCTACCAGTGACACCCTCCAACCACCCACACAGACAGAAACAACAGAGGGAAAGTAAAGGAGTAGGACCTACCAGTGACACCTTCCAACCACCCACACAGACAGAAACAACAGAGGGAAAGAAAAGAAGTTGGACCTACCAGTGGCACCCTCCAACCACCCACACAGACAGAATCAACAGAGAGAAAGTAAAGAAGTAGGACCTACCAGTGGCGCCCTCCAACCACCCAGTTAACAGCCTCACTCCCATTGTATACCACGCCTGTATCATCAACACCCACCACCAGCATGACAGCCCACTACACAATTAAACACAGGAGAATTTTATTTGTGTCATGACGCAGTGGAATCAGGCGCTCGTCAATTGCACATGTGGAGTTGTTCACATCATTTTAAAGCTTTTCCTTCTGTCTTGCTTCAGGTGAAAAAAACCCTCATCTATCGGGAATAAAAGTCGAGATATGTTTGCAATTGAAGGGGGTCGCGGTAGGGGAGGGGGTCGCCTGGTTTCAGAGGTAAAATTAGGGAGAAAATGGCCGCCAAAGTTTGGTGACTTCCAGAGCAAGAGAGTCCTTACAAATTGCAAATGTACATTTTTGTGCCTTAAATCAATATTTTTTGTCCAGTAAAACCCACTCAGAAATGTGTGTTTTAAATGGGCTTTAAAGGTGTTGAGTCAAAAAAAAAAAAATTCCATAAAAATTACCAAACGGACAGAACAATGCTAGTTTCTTCGATTTCATTATTTTGACGAGTGCCTGATTTCACCACGAAGCCTCACATTTTGCTACAAAGGTAGGGGCAGACCACGAAAAACTTGGCCGGATGACGTCAAAGATGTCCTTTAACAGAATAACATATCAAGAACAGAAGCCAGCCATCTACCAACGTATAGACCAAGGCTAAAACAGCCCCTGGATATGGATGTCTAGAGCCTCTATAAATAACTTATTGATGGTCAGGACCCACCTATCACTTACCGAAAAATTTCACCTCCCCCCCCCCCTCGATAATTAACGATACAAAAGTGAAAAAAAAAAGTAACGTTCTATTCTCAAGTTTATTCAAATTGAGCCTCTCTGCCTTTCTAAACGGAAGACGAATCCCTCTCAGCCAAGGTCGGCCCTGACAGCCACGATCGAAACAGCATGACTCCTAAATGATCCAAACTGCGAAAACTGATGGGGACATAAAAAAATTGGTCGGCAACTATCCAATAGTTTAAAGCCCAAAGGCAACATTTTTTTAGAGAGAGAGAGGCAGAGACAGAGAGAGGCAGAGACAGAGGCAGAGACAGAGACAGAGAGACAGAGAGACAGAGAGACAGAGAGACAGAGAGACAGAGAGACAGAGAGACAGAGAGAGATACACTGCTTTATTTCTTTATAAGTTGCACTTGCCTTATTGATCTATTCTTGCTTCAACATTTAGAATTAAAATTTCAACAAAATATTACTTTAGCATAACCAGCTGATACAACAAATTAGGAAACTGCAATGAATTTATGTTTTTTATATATAAAATTTTAGGCTGGGTTTATATATATATATATATATATGTGTGAGTGTGCCTGTGTGTGCGTATGTGAGTACGTGCGCGTACGCACGTGTGTGTGTGACTGTGTGTGTATGCGTGCGCGCGCGCGTGTGTGTGTGTATGTCTGTGTGTATGTGTGTGTATGTCTGTGTGTATGAGAGTGCGTGTGTGTCTCTATCTCTGTGTGTATGAGTGTGTATGAGTATTTAAGAGTGTGTGTGTGTGTGTGTGTGTGTGTGTGTGTGTGTGTGTGTGTGTATGTGTGTGTATGTATGTGTATGTTCGTGTGCGTGCGTGCGTATGTGCGAGTGTGAGCGCGTGAGTCAACCAGCGTATCCACCACCTACCTACATATCTCATTATAAATACGACAGTCTATGATGCGGAACTGCCCACAAATTAAATGTAGTGGGAAACATGACACCTCCAGTGCTTGTCCGCTGTTCTGCCTCTAGTCCGCTTCGCTTCACAAACTTTCTCTATATACATGTTTATAAATAAATATATATATATATAATTATATATATACAACGTGCTTATATATACATAATATTATGTTCTACGTATACGCATGTCAAGTGTCTTTGAAATGTGATATCCCTTGGACTGTTACGCGCATGGGGAGTTTTTAGAAAATGGAGAAATGCGTGAAATAAATACTATTTGATACAAGTGGTTATTTACTGCTGGAACAAAGTGAGACATGCAGACAGACAGAATCAACAGAGGGGAAAGTAAAGGAGTAGGACCTACCAGTGGCGCCCTCCAACCACCCATACAGACAGAAACAACAGAGAGAAAGTAAAGAAGTAGGACCTACCAGTGACACCCTCCAACC